TGGAAGCAGCTCTCAACCCTTAATGATTAGAGAGGAGATAACTAGCTGAGGGTGCATACCTAACTCAGGAGATAAAGTCTGGCGCATGAGTCCTAAAGCAAGACACAAACAGGCACACAATTCTCATGCATTTCAAAACGAGTCTCATCCCTTTCATGCCCCCACGGTTTGAATGATCAGGTTCTGGACCCTTGTAAGCCCTGAATCCTGATCCCACTACTCCAGAAGTAAAACAACGCAGAGCAGTGAGCATGGGGACATCCCCCAAGCACCCAATCCTTCATGAAAGACAAACAAATTTGAAATGGCTGCAAACATGTCCTTAAAAATTATCTGTCCTGAGTAACAACGTGGTAGTTTATTTTCTTGAGTGTGTTCACCAAAGTCAGATGAACAGAGAAAGCAGCTATTCGCTCCGCTGGCTGTGCTTCATAACACCATTAAAACACAGGGCTTCCTTTCACAGCGCTGCAATTTGGAACAGAGCTTGCAGGGGGTCAGCAGCAGGTGCACAGTCACAACTTCCAAAAAAAGGATAAACAGACTTTTTTTTTTTAAATCTTGGACTGGGAGAAAAAAAAAAAGTGAATTGTTACATCTCATCTACAAACCTTGCCTTTGCTTACAGAAACAGCTACAAAACCAAAATAGCTACTGGAAACTCTTCTTGAATGAGTTACTGGAGTCAGAAGTTAACGTATGAGTACTTCCCCTCAAAGCTAAGACAACCCAGGAAGAAGGGCTCTGTTCCTCTTAGGTGCCCCAAATTTATGTCTGAAAAAAAAAAAAAAAAAAAGGCTAACATTATAAAAATACCACTCAAGCAGTTCCAGTAATTTCAGTTTTTTGCTACCCACAGAAGAGACTAGAAACTCTCTTTTGTGACTAATATATATATTAAATGACAGAATCATAAGAAGAGGTAGGACAAAGATTCAATTACTAGCTGGAAACAAGGGATAGAACAGCATACCATAAAAAAGAGAGAGAAAGGAAAAAAAAAAAAAAAAAGCAATGTTCTTTTTCTTTTTACTCCTTCAGGCTTTTGTGCCAGAACTGTCCTAGGACCGAAGTTGACCTGTTCAACTATTTTACAGAGTGTTCCCACCAAAAATCAAAGCTCTACATTGTACTTCTATCCTATGTTCCAGAAATTTTGACAAGCTAGACCTACACTTAAGTAACAAATGAAAAAACTCCACTTACTGTCACTGATGATTCTGACATGTGCTACTGACTTCAGAATGGTTTTCAGAATAGTTTTATCAGGAATCAGTGTGGTAGAGCTAGCATAGATGTTAATCTCAAACCATTTAACTTTTTTTTTTTTTAAATAGCCTTTATCCTCCCCACAATGCACTATGTGTTGAAGCTTTTGTACGAGTTACTGTTGTTAGAGTCTCCTTTTCAACACCCTTTAATGCTTATCATTTTTTGCCAAGCCCTAAGCAAAAGCAATTTTCTTCCTCCCTAATTTCATATGAAAATAGAAGAACTACTCCATCAATTACCTTTTTTTCTTCCTGTGACAGCCACCATTCTTTTGGCTGAGCATTCCCTGACAGAGCACAAAATGCTTGCCATTCACTGGAAGTGAATGATGCTTCACGAAACTGTGGTTTTACTTTTGTTTTTGCAAATGAAGTCTATGCAGCACGAGCAGAAACAAGAAGTACATGATCTGACTGCATTCCCTTGGGCATGAAGTCTTTGCTATGAAGACATACATGCAGAACTGTTAGAAACTGATGCCCTTTGATGAGACTGTGGCTATCAATTATAACAATAACTCCTAAAGTAAAACTGCACAGAGACTGTGATAATGAACAGTAGCAATACCCTTAATAGGAATAAAATAGCCAGACTGCTGACTGCCTCAGCCTACATGGGATCTCCCTTCCAACACTCTGCCTGCCTTAACACTTTCATAAATGGCCAAAATCACAAGTATCTTTCTTCTTTAAGTATTTCTATGCCTACCATCACTGTACGGAGAATATAACATTCTATTACACATTTATCTTCATTATGTCCTTTGGGCAAAAGGGATTAAAATAAGATGAAATTAACGTACAACTTGTTCAAAGTCATATGAACTCTGTCACAGACAAGAACTGAAGCCTTCCCCACTCCCCCGAGTCAAACTCTAGCATCCCATTTACCCAGTGGACTCATCTTCTCACAGGTGTATATACCTAGGTCTGTATCATATAATCTCAAGTTAGAAATATGTATATATATAAATTTTGAAAAAAGTTGCAATAATATTCCCTCTCATCAGGAACTGAATTAATCTTTTCAAGGTCACAGGCAAAGCTGCCAAGATGAAGCAGAAAAATGTACACAGCTGCACATACACAATACCTGATTGCCATGCTGGCTTTTGACTTGGTAAAGCAGAAAATGTACCTCTGAATGAATATCATCCAATTTTCCAAATATATTTAGAATATCAACATCACACTTTCAGGCAAGTTTAAACACTTTTGCTATGACTTTGCTGTATGAAGTGTTTCATAGCCAGGCAGGATAACGTTCTGTGATTCTGTGGTAACATAGTGCAGTGACCACTTCATCTTTCTGAAAGGAAAAGGCTTGAGTCAGTCATAAAAAAAAAGGGACATTCCATATCTGCTTAGAGTATTCCTTGACAGCATCATGTGTTAGCTAGAGCTCTGTTGATCTTACAACTGGACAAGTGGTGAATGATGAGCAAGTCTTGCAGCCTTTTAACAAAAGTTTATTGGAGATGAGGCACATCTTTTGTATTTCAAAATAGCTCGCTTATGGCATGAGTATTCAGCAACATACATTGAAGTCCAAACACATTCTACCTCAAAAGAAAATATGTACCGCATTCTCCATAGCAAAATTAGGAAGTCCAAAGAGAACAGAAAAGTCAGTGAGGAAAGATACAGATTCTGAACCAAAATGACAAGTCTGTAGCTTTCTTTTCAAGGCTTTAAGAAGCAACTTCTAAGCTGACCTTTCAGTTCCTTGTAATGTTAATGAATTTTTACACGTAATCAATTCCAAGTGTAATGTATTCTTAAACAGTCCACTGAAAAGCCAGACAAAAACCAAAATGCTTAAAAGTACAGAAGAGCTCTTTTGAGAACACCGTATGTTCTTGAAATGATGAGGGGGAAAAAAAACATCAATAGGAACATAACCAGGGCCTTGTTAAAAGCATATTCATTTAAGAAGCAGATACTGTGTATCACCATATTGATTTCATCCATAGTGGAGGCTATCTTTCCTTGAATGTATTTTTCCTACTCACACATCTGACAGGCCTTCAAAACAGGCAAGTTTGTGGAAAACAATATTGATGATCCAAGTGCAAAACAAAACTGGATGAGCCAACTTTTTGGCCATTAAGAAACAAAAAAAAACCAACACCCAACAACAAAATAACACGCTGTCTACCTAAAACGGAGCATGCTAGGTGCTTTCACTCTTAGGAAAGCTTGCCCTGAAAAACACCAGAAAAAAATACAAAAGAAAAATCAACAGCCACACTGTACTGAAATAAAACCAATTCAGACTACCTCAATGAAAATTTTTTGCTTTGCATTTAGTTTAAAATAGTTTGAAGATTTCTGCTACAGCTTCCCCTGAAAGATTTCTTTCTGCTGCCTCCACCTGACAGAATTATGGCTGGATTCTCCCGTGCGTCCAAAATAAACAGTCACCCTTGTTGTGACAACTTTAAGCCTACGGAGCACATCTCCTGGCCAAAACACTTAAGAGCTTCCAGAGGAATGAAAAGTGAGAGTGGGGAGCAATTTAGAGCCTGTTTCCGCACAACTGGCCACTTCAGTCTTTTGTCTTGCATAGGAAGCACAGTGCAGGCAATTTCCACATGCAATCAAACTCCTGACATCAAGCAGTGCACTTGTTGGCAGTCTCACGGGGAGTTCAACAGGGGAAATGATTTAATTGACACGAACAACAACAACAACTTCACACTGCAAATACTGAAGATCAAAAGATTTTTTTTATTGGCCATTAGAGGGTTGCTAGCAGCCCTTGGAAATACCCGTTTCTGTGTTTTGAAGCACGTCTTTATCACAAGCCAAAGCAGGAAAGACTACAGCAACGTAAAGCCACTGCTGTTCCAAGGGAAAGGGGTCCCCAGTGCCTTCCCCAGATGCCACGGGTCTGCCCAAGATTTATGAGCTCTGTCCTACACATCTTGCAGAAGATCCTCCTCACTTCCTCCAAGTGCTGGAGCTGTGTTTTGGTTAGCGAGCCAGGGTTACCTTGGCAGAAGCAACAAGCAAGACCTCATAGATGTTGTGTAAATCCCAATACTCCAGTGCATTACTGAAAAGCCTGGCAGCTTTTAAGCTTTCTTATTTTTTGAAGCTCATAGATGGTCCAGGACTGATATGCGCCCCCACACAGCAAATTTAAGCCCACTGGCAACAGGCAGGCTTTTATGAAGTATCTTCCACAGATTCTTTAGAAATAGCTGACTAATACCCGTGCCCCCACAGATTACATGCTGCAAACCAGTGCTCTACATCTATCCTGATGGCCTGACTACAGCATGAAACTTGAGCCCTGTTCTTGTGAACCACAGCCAGAACGGACAGCGGAAACCAACAGCATTCCACAGACCTTTATTCTTATTAGATCTATTATGAGCTTGAATTCAGAACAGGATTTAAAAAAAAAAAAAAAAAAAAAAAAGCACAGCCTCATATCTACAGATCTCCTCCCTTTTTCCCCATATGACCCTTCCAGAGCTCTGCAAAAGAGAAGAGATGGCAACGCAAAGTGGAAAGACTGAATAGAGCTACTTTCTCTCCCTACAAGACACCACAACATTTTTCCAACTGATTCTCCCTGATCAGTAGAGCAAGCAAACAAAAAGGGAGACAAATACGGACAAAACACCAGAGAATCTGGTCCAGGAGGAAAAATAGTTACTAGTAGTCTGAATATTCTAAAAATACAGTCATCTGCCCCCCCAAACCTGTCCCCTGCCTCACCAAAGGAAAGTTGAGAGAATTAGCAAATCTTCACACTTGACTCCTTTGAATACAAACTTATTCCTCCTCCAGAGTATGCTGCAGGCCTAAGAACTAAATGAAAGCTGTTCAGCCTCGCTGTTCTCTCACCACCTAGATTTCCTTTAAAGCACACACCTGCCCAACACAGGTGTGATTTCCATCCTGATTGCCATTGAAGTCTTGTGCTGTTACTTGTGAACTTTCTTTCAAGTTCTGAAGTAAAAAAAAACATCCAAGCATTCCTTCCAGAGTATCATAACTAACCAGGAACAACACACTGAAACCTGAAATGCAAATAAAAAAGCAAAGCCGGACAAGACGGCCCCCCTCACGCTATGGAGGCCGCAGAGTAATTAAACTGAGAAATAAGTTTTCCCTTTGGTCTAGTGCCTCTCGGTTCTTGTAGCTATAAATGCAATAAGGGCGGCTGCAAAATTCACACACTGGAAACATGGTTTGCAAACTAGCTGTCTGTCTGATTGGGGATTTAAATTTTCACACCATAAACTGTGGCTTGGAAGGACTGGAAGGAAAGAGTTGCTTGTTCACTGGATCTGTGGCTTCAGGGGAAATAAAAAGTTTGATTTTCTTTAACGTCATGAGACTTGACTAGTCAAGCTGTTTTACAAAGCACCATGCACATATGTAGGGCTTTGGTCATTAGCATGGCCAGGTGTCCACTGCCTATTCCTCCAAACACTTCTCAGTCCCCTGGAAGGCAACAAGACTACCTGGTTACAAAAAAGTGTTCACAATTTGCAAACCTTACCAGTTGGACAAATCAAGGAGTACGGCACTGGTCTTGGAAAATGTACACTAGATATATAAAAACTCTTTAACAATGTCATCCATAGGGTGACAGCCCAAATGGCACTGTACACCAGCAAGGGTAAAATACCTGTAGAAAATAGCATTCAAACAAGCACATTTACGTTGAGGCAGAACAAGCTCCATTCACCAGCAGTGGCAGTGGTGCAGTTTGCTTGTTGGGTACCAGGGCTCGGGCCGCAAGGACCCTGCTTCAGACCCAGGCACCAGCCTGCTGCAGGGCATGAGACAAGTCCTCATCCGCAATGTCCCAGCTGACCTGGGCACAAGGAAGAAACTCCTAGGCTAACAAGTGCAGAAGTTCGCTAATGGTGAGATATGAATAGATCTGTCCACTTTCCTCCTGAGGGAAGCCAACATTAAAAAAAAAAAAAAAAAAAGTGACCACACAACAAAAACAACCACCCCCGTTTTCAAAGAACACCGCACTCCTTCCCCAGGAGCTCATCACGTTTTGGCGAGTACAACAAAGGCTCCTTGGCACCTGCTGAGCACCTCACAAAAACAATCACCACCCATTCACCAAGATCCAGCGTCTTCCAAGCTTTTCATCTCCAGGCCTCAGAAGACTTTCCAGCAGAGACAGCTATGGTGGTTCAAGCATCCGAACCCAGTTTTATTTCCTGGATCCCTCAAGAGCAGTCAAAAGGCCATAAAATGAGATACTGTCTAACCCCGTGTACCTCTATCTATTCCCTATTCTCTATTCACACACGCCAAGCAAGACTCATCCTTAGTGAAGATTAAAATTAAAAAATTGGCACGAACTTTGCTTTGAAACAGAGATATCTGTACTTGATCCAATTAAAAAGTCAATCAGTTGTAAGCAAAACCTGCTTCTGCCTTGGTGGAAAACTTGTCCGTTTCCTCTTCAGTGGAGGAATATCTTAATAATTAACATTACATGAAGAAAAAGAGTCAGTAAAATCCAATTGGCAATCCTTTGGCAAAGGCAATATGCTGGTGCATTTGTGAAGTAACGTTCAAAGAGTTTCTTCTTCTGTTCTCACTTGAATTTTCATTGACCTTTTTCTCCAGGTACAGTAGACTCAGACTATGAACCGGGCAGGATTTCTGTCCACCTGGTCCTCTCCCCCACCCCACAAAACAGGGACAACTCGCAGTGGGCTGCTCTGAACCTTGTCCAGCTGAGCTCTGAGTGCCTGCAAGGACAGCTGGACCTCTCTGGGTAGCCTGTTCTGACATCTGCCCACCCTCGTGTTGAAATTTCTTTCCCTAACATCTCATTGGCACTTCCCTTGCTGCAACTTTGCCTGTTGCCTCTTGTCCCACTGCTGTGCGCCTTCCAGAAGAGCCCGGCTTTGTCCTGTTACCTTTTAGCTGAGGATACGGGATAGCTTTCCTTTAAAGAAAAGTAACACACTGAGACGTACTCCTAGGATGTTCACAAAACACATACGCACGCATACAGCTTTCAGCTTATTTTTCTGAGCCACAAGTACTGCGCTCTACTTTGCAACCTAGTGCTGCTGTCTCTTACGGGTTGCCCTTTTGCAGTGCTTAACGCTGACAGCTTGCCTTCGCAGCCACGAGGAGCTGAGGTGGTAAAAGCCGGTACCGAAACGACTCCGCAGCAACCTCCCCGTGAGGCGAAGCCCTCCGCTCTCCTTCCCCGTGCGGCTCAGCCCCGCCGCGGCGCGGCACTTGCACAACCCCGCGGTGCTCCCCGCTCCCCCCGGCTCCTCCGCTAGCGGGGCAGCCACGGGGGGCACCGCAACCCGAATCGCTGCGGGGCTGCGGCTCTGCCCCCATCCCATCCCCGAGGCGCAACAAGTCCCCGGCGCGCCCGGCCGCGCTTACCCAGATAGTGCCGCAGGTCCAGCAGAAAGTGCGGGGGCCCCCCGTTGAGCTGGTAGAAGAGGGAGCCCAGGCAGAAGAGCAGCAGGGCGGCCATGCAGAAGCCGTAATCGCGCAGCGAGAGGAAGGGCAGCAGCGACAGCGGCCGCCGCCGCCTCCAGCCCCCGCCCGGGCCCGGGCCCCCTCCGGCCGCCGCCGCCGCCGCCGCGGGGGGCCGGGTGTCCGGGCAGCCCCCGGCGCCGCCGTGCTGCTGCTGCTGCTGCTTCTTCTTCATCCTCCTCCCCTCGGCCGCCGCCGGCTCACGCAGCCCGCCGGGGAAGGCGCATCCTCCATCCGCCTGCTCGGCTCCGGCTGCCCGCGGCGGGGAAAGTTGCCGGCGGCTCAGGGCGCCCGTCCCGTGCCCATCGCCCGCCGCCCCCGGCAGAACCCGGCGCGGCGGCTAAGGGGAGGGGAAGGAGGTGGCCACCATCCCGCTCCCGGGGCTCCTCTCCTCCTCCTCCTCCTCCTCCTCTTGCTGCTGCTGCCGCCGCCGCCGAAGCTCCGCTCGGCCTCTGGCCCCGGTGTCGAGTTACAGCCGCCGCTCCGCCGCCGAGCCCTGCGCGCCGCCCGGCCCCCGCCCCGGCCCCGCCGCCCCCGGCACGGCCCCCGCCGCCCGCCCACCCCTGCCCGGCCCGGCCCCGGTCCCCGCCGTCGCCTCCCCGCGAGCGACCCCTGCGGGCGCCGTCGGGCGCCGCCTCCACGGGCCCGGCGCATCCTGAGGCACCTGCCCCGGGCGGGGGTCGCGGGGCTGCCCCCTCGCCCCCACGGCCGAGCTGACTGAGGCGAGGGGAGCGCCCCTCTCGCCGCCTTGCGACGGGCCCCGGGGATCACGAAAGCCCAGCGTGACCCCCGGCCGCACATGGCTCGCAGTGTGATCCCTCATGACTTGGTCGTGCCCGCAAAGCTGCTTCACACAACGAGGGTGAAGGGTTCTCGCTTCGTGCTGGGTTGCTTAATGCCATCATCCTCTTCATACATCTCTTTTGGGACTGTTCGTGGCCCCAGGCACTGTCTGCAGCTGCGATGCATTTCGGTGCATCCTGTGGCCGCACTGCCACCACTACAATGGAGGGAGGAGGCCTGGTACAGCGCTGCCAGCCCACAGTCTCATTTTATGGACCTGGCTAGATGGGGAGGGCTTCCAGCCCTTCACGCGATCCCACGAGAGCCTTCTTTTGCTTTTAGCCAACAGCAAGTTCTGTCCTCTGTGGTTTGGGAGAAAAGTAGGAAATCATGACCCAAGTGCAACTCGCCAGGTCAGAAACCAAGATGCAATCACCCTTTTCCTTTTTAGGCTTAAAAAATGCATCCTGATTGAGGGGGGCTGACTCATAGTCCTTTAGCACTCGCAGCTGCAAATTCTGCTCAGTAGGCTGGATTCAGGCGTTTTTGCCACTGACATTGAAAGGCATGTGTAAATGCCTGAATCCCACCTACCTTTTTAGATTTGTTGCTGGTTTCCAGCAGTAAAGGGCACCTGCTGAAACAGGGAAATTAACCTTGGTGATGTGGACAGGACCAGAGCCAGAACCTGAAAATAAACAACTAGTGAGCAATCCCCTTGGATTCATTGATAAACAATATCCCCATAGTGGCTGAAAGATCAGACCTTAGAGGATTTGGAGGGGAATCTATTTGGTTTAGTTACAGTCTATGGCATCACTGCACAGATCCTTCAAAATCCACACTAAACCCAAACAAAAACAAAGTTAGGAACAATGACACCTCACTTCCAAGAAGGAGAAAACAAAAATGATAAAATATAACAGTTCCACTTCAGGCTAGTGCTCAAGCACCAAAAGTGACATAAAAGGTCAATCTTTAGGACTATAGGTTGCTTTAAACAGAAATCCCCAGTAATATTCAGCAGATACAGTCTTAAGTGTATTTGCATGGTTAGATTACCACTTAGTGATACTCGTGAATGTCAGTTTGAAACACAGAGTGTGAGGGGCTTACTTAACCTGCTCTGCTGCCGTGGATGTCTTGCATTGTTTTATATTGCTTTGAACACTTAAATTGTCTACCAGACAGCTTGCAACAACCACACTGCAGATTCATGTCGCAGTGCTAGTTAGTGTTGCAAATGAGAAACCAGTAAGCATTTACATTGAACGTTTGAGAAAAATGGATGCTTTGACAAGAAGACAGACAACATCTGTAAGGTGAATCAATAAATCTTTATTTTTCTAGTTGCAAAGAATGTCTTTGATCTCTAGGAAGAGATTGTGAAAAAAAAATTGAAAAGCAGATCTATCATTGGGAAGAGAGTGTTTTATTAAGAGTGCTCTTTCCATTGACAGGTAAAAAATTCTCTTAAGAGGAAGAAGAGAAATTATTCCTTTCATATGTATGAACTATCACACCTCTGTTATTCTATCAATTAAAATGCCTAAAATTAAAGTAGGACAACAAGTAGGAAAAATAAATATTGTTTACTTCGTTATAGCTTGATGTAGTGTAACTGTCTCCCTATTTTTAATTCCCCTGCTACTTATTGACTTTAATAAAAATAGTATGATTTTGCATGCACAGCATAAAGCAATGAAAACATATCCTTAGCAGGATTTTTGCATTCAAACACACACATGCAGAAGAATGAAAACCCACATTAAAGGAATGATATGGTTGAAAAGCCAAGTGTCAACACTTGAAGAAAATCCAAAGGTAAAATTTTTCAGACAAACTTGTTTTAACTTGTAGAGGATACAAGTTGCAATTCAGCCGTTAATTGTATGATTATATTGTTTGCTCCCAGGACTGCTGCCTCGTATGGTGTCTGCGACAGTCACTGATCATTGAACACGCAGATTTTTGGTTTATTTTTAATCTCTTTGTTCAACATATGTCCTCAGGCTTTGTTTAAAGCTATCTAAATCCTGCCTGTAATATGGAATTATTAATGTCGTAATAGGCTTTTCCACAGCATTCATTGTTACGGTACCTTGAGCATATGAGGAATGTTTCTGAATTACTTCCGTGTGATGCAGCTAATATCACCATTTTACTGATTGTGCAAACGGGACACAGAGAGATTAAGGTTAAACATGTCTATTAATTTTGATTGCCAGGCTTGAGATGATAGGGGTTTGCCTTAGCAAAATACTTAGCATTATGAAGCACTCTGTACATTGACAGCATAGCTCCCATGGACTTTAGACACAGCTGTGAATGATAACGACTTCTACAAATCAGAGCCCAGGCTCTCAGACTGAACACCAGGCATAAAACAACCACTCAGTGGCCACTCAGTTCAAGCAATCTGCTCAACACCATATAGGAGTGCTGTGGTGCTGGCAGGCACACCACCGATAACTTTCAGAGCAGTATTTCAGATAAGTTTCAGACTGCAGCAGTCTTCATGCTCCTTGCCTGTCTTGACCTTGTCCCGCTCCTTTTTTTTCCTCCTCTCCTAGACCTAGCCTCAGCTCCAGGATCTTTGTCCAAGTGTGTTTCCTTCCATGACCTCAGCCAGAGTAGGTCCAGCTTTTTGCTCAGCTTTGCTCTGGCTGAATCCCTCTCCTGGCTGTGATGATTCCAGCAAGAAGGACACTGCGAGCTCAGAGCTGGCTCCCTGGGGCTGGAGGAGGACGCTCAGAACAATCAAAGTGGCAGAGAATATTGCTGCCAAGAATTCCCAGGTGGGTCTACCTCAGTGCTACACTAGAGACTGCTGAGCAAACTCATAACCCCCACTCAGAAATTAGCTCAGTGAGCGAGATGAGCACAAGGAGGTCGTGTGTCAGCAGGACACACGGCTGCACTTGGCAAAGGTCCTGGTTTAGGTGCCAGTAGCCCAGTGGCCTCATCTGCCCGGCTTGTCAGGTCAGCTGCTTGCCAGCCCAGGGATGACAATGCACCCACAGAGCTGCTTGCTCATGGCTCCAAGCCCAGCACACTGCTCAGTTGCTTGGGAATGGCTGCACCAGGCTGCTGGGGGCTACAGCTCCACTCTGCTGAGTGCACACAGCCCGAGGTCACGTTGAGATCTGTAGCCTTCCATTGGAAGAGCAGAAACCACATGTCTAAAAGTAAACACTGATGTTCCAAGGAGTGGAGGCATTGCCATTTCTTATTTTTGCAGCAGTAGGATTTTGATTCTAACATAAGCAAAACATCCTTCACTTATTCTGACATCTGAATATTTTTTTTGTTGTTGAAATTTTCTAGATAAATTCTCCAAATTCCCCGGCTGGGGTATGCCATAATAGGCAGTTTGCAAAGGTGTAAACAACTCGAAAGAGGTAAGGTAGAACCCAGGCCCTGCTTTTTGTAAGAGAGCAAAGACAGAAATTTTAGATGCAAGGCAACACTGAGTAAAGGCTCACTGGTTTAAGGGAATATCATCTGAGAAGCACCCATGAAAGATTGCAGCTTGAGATTCCTCCAGCACTTTCTCTCTGATTTGGAAAGGGTTGAAAGCATAACAGGGTAATTGATGACAGCCGTGCAGGCTTTATTTTTACTTTATTCAGCAATAGTCGATAATTTGATGGAGATGAAATAAGGGTTCACCATGGCTTTTCATTTCATGCGCACAAAATGCTTGCAAATTTCATCTTCCTTGACTGAACTAGGATTGTAGGTCTATGCTGGCTGGTTGTATTAATTCTGTCCTTTGTGGAAGGTTCAGAAATACATTTCTGGGAAAAACATGATAGTAACTGTCTGAAGGTAGGTACATGATCCACATCCTATAGCTCATACATCAAACAGGTACAACCTAGTGACACTCTGACAATGCAGGGTCATTCCAGAAAAGGTATTTAGAATTTTTAATTAAAATGCCATTTGAAAGTATATGAACACAGTCTATCAAAGTCACTTGGAGAGTAATAGAACTTAACAAAATGAATTCATATTAATCCCCTGACATTGCTGGCTCTCCCCAGCAAAGTGCTACTCACAGGGTTGTCCTTACTCCTGATTACAACGGTGTTGTTTGTTTAATTTTATCTGAAATCAAAATGGCCAACAGGAATTAAACCAAGACCCTTTCTTTTTTAAGCAGTATGCATATTATTGAGAAGCAGCAATGAAAGCAGAAGGTACAAGAGGATGTTTTATAATGTATAGTCTTAATGATCAATTTTTCCCCCATCATAAATGCCCACTCGTAACAGCCTAACAGAATTCACTTTGACTTTGTGTCCTCTTTGTATTGATTTCCCAGTAGTAATCTAAGTCTTGCATTTATCTCAGGAAACTGACAGCAGAAAAGCAGAAGTTCCCATGCGTAAACAAGAGTTTTCTTACAGCACACCCGCTAAAAGCCACTCTTGTTTAGACAGTTAACAGAAAAGCACCATGCGATGTACTGGACAGATTTAGACATGTAAAGACGGAGACCGTCACATGGGGAAAATACAGCACTGGTGCTAATGAGGCACCAAATAAAACAGATAGTGAGACATGTCTGAATCCAGGAATCATACAGAGTATGCTGGCACCACCAGGCTATCTCTAAAGTAGCCAGTGGATGTGTGCAGCACTATGCAGGGCTATGCCATGGTAATAACAGGGAGCAGCAGGGCCAGGCCAGTGCAGCACTCACAGCAGAATTAATGAGGGAGGGCAGAAAGCCATCCTGGCACCGCCTCACCTCCTCCTGTCCCAGAGTGATTCCACAGCTCCCTGCAGTGCACCACAGTCTGTATCACAAGGAAAAACGTTGTGGGAAGTAAGCTGATCCACTGAGAGGTGTGTTGATGCTGCAGCTGGGAATGTTATGGGACAGTGAAACAGGCTGTCATACATCTAATCTAGCCTATAGGAAACCTCAATCCACATCCCTGAAAACACCCCCTAAAAATATCTTTACTCATGTTCTACTAATAGTAACATCACTACTCTCTTATCAAACAAGGCATCCCTATGAACCAGGTCTCTCTTTTTCTACAAGAAAGAGAGACCATTCCTCACAAGTGAATGCCTTTGGCAGTCAAATGCCCTCAGACAAGAGGGAGAACTAAACTTCGTGTTTTCTTATCCTGCGTTAGTTCTCCAACAGCAGAAAAAGTAGGATGTTTCTTCTCTGTGGCATCTAATCTGGAAGAGGTGTACCAGGGATGCCCACAGGATGGTCCCTCCAGGTGCTATCAGTGCATAAGCAACAGAGCTGCTATTCCTGGAGGATGCTGCTTCAGCTCCTGGCAGGCAGGTGCTGTAAGCTGATGCAGATCTCTGTATGGCAGAGGCACCCTCAGACCCCAGGACTGACAGCACTTGCCAGTTAAGGAGAAGGGGATCTAATCCACAGGTGACCGCTTCCAGGGCCAGCCACTCAGGGCAGGCTCCTGATGAGATTTTCAAAAGCAGAGGCCTGAATAACTAGGGGTCTAAATCCCTTGTTAAATTTGGCCCTGTGTATTTTCAGCTCATCTCAGGCATTATATAGAATCATAGAATATCCCGAGTTGGAAGGGACCCGTAAGGATCATTGAGTCCGAATTCTGGCTCCACACAGGTCTACCCAAAAATTCAGACCATGTGACTAACAGCACAGTCCAAATGCTTCTTGAATTCTGACAGGCTTGGTGCAGTGACTGCTTCACTGGGGAGCCTGTTCCAGTGCACAACCACCCTCTCAGTGAGGAACCTCTTCCTGACATCCAGCCTGAACCTCCCCTGTTGCAGCTTGACTCCATTCCCTCAGGTCCTATCGCTTGTCACTAAAGAGACTAGGTCAGCACCTGCCTCTCCACTTCCCCTAGCGAGGAAGATGTAGACCGCAATGAGGTCTCCCCTCAGCCTCCTCTTTTCCAGGCTGAACAGGCCCAGTGACCTCAGCTGCTCCTAATACGTCTTCCCCTCTAAGCCCTTCACCATCTTAGTAGCCCTCCTCTGGACATTCTCCAACAGTTTCACGTCCTTCTTGTACTGCGGAGCCCAGGACTGCACATAGTACTCAAGGTGAGGCTGCACCAGTGCAGAGTGGGACAATCACTTTCCTCAACCAATTAGCAATTCACAAGCTGGAAGTTACCTTACTGAATTATTCATATGCATATTTCATCTAATCAAAGTATTTCAGAAAAGCTGTTTGTTCACACATCAAAAAGCCAGCAAATGTCAAGCTCTGTCATGAATCCTTCCCTTGGTAAAGTGGTATTCACTAAAAAATTAAAAAATAATAGTTATGCATCAACTGCTTTTATATAAACTGCCATCAGGATGTCATTACATATGTTAGGTCAAATTTTGGGAAAAGCAATGTACAGAAAAGGGACATATCCACAAGCTAAAAGTTTACGGTAAAGTCTGTAAATTAGGTCACTTCATCTTCTGACTGCCCACACAAGTTGTGGTCCCTCACCGCATAAAACTTTTACATGAAACTGCCTTTGTTGTTCCTTCAGTTACCAATGCAACGACCTACTGCTTCCAACCCCAAAACAGAAGTGGGCCCTATGTCAGATAATATAAGCTTCACTACTTAGCTACAGCAGAGGGAAGGGAACATCCTACCAAATAGTTTGCCTCCGCTGCACAGGTAACTTGGTCTTCCAGGCACTCAATTTTACCAGGAAGCACGTAACTGGCAGAGTGGTGATACAATGCTGAGAACTGAAAAGGCAGGTCGAAATTTAAAAACCCCAGGCCAACAGAATGATACTCAAATTGCTAGAATAATTTTCTGATAATTCTCCACAGGAGCCTGTCCTGCACACAAGTAGGCACACACATATACTAGGCGTAACTTACACTAGTTCAGGCAGGCTATTGCAACAGCCCAGAGCTTTTTTCCAACTTGGTTTTGACTCATTTCCCACACAGTTACATATATAAACTTGGCTTCCTATCATTTCCTTAACATATGCACATATAAACCTGAAAGTTTTAAAGCTGTGAGTAAAGTTTCATTTTGATTCTCTCCGTTCAGATTAGGAATTTTATTCAGTGACAGCTGTAGAGTAACTGTCGGAAATATGGAACTTTTTAATGTTTTAATTAAGAATTTCTCTCATTTGAATAATTCATTCTTGTTACTCTTACAATTTCACATGGTTAAAAGTGAAATACGCAAAGTAGCACGTAGATCTGCCTATCATAAGTTATTCCCACCCGCCTAAATTAGAGACTTTGGCAACAGTATTTCTGGAATGCAGTAAACATTTCCTTTAAACCTATACAAAATACATCTGGAAGACAATGACTATGAAAATGCCTGTGGAAAAGAGAGACCGTATAAATCAACTAATCAGGACCTCTAAAGCAGAGCAATAATGTTCATAAAATTAAGGTAAAAAAAGATACAACTCAATTAACATAGTCATGAATGTTGGGTATACAATAAATAGCAAATAAGTATTTGCAATAGGAGAAAGAATGTCATTCATTTACAATGATCTAGGATAAATAAATCAAAGTACCCTTGCTCAATTTATTGCATTTTACCCAACACCAAGGCTTCCTCCAGACCAATTTGGCTTTTCTGCAGTCTTTGGCCAGAGTCACGTGACTGGAGCAAAACTATGAATTGCTTTAAGCACTCCCAGATGCTGGGGTTGTCAGTCTTAGCTCATATTATTTCCAATTCTTGTGGAAAAAGAAAGCATATATTCTCACTATATGGAGCTTTCAACTGAGCAATCTCCTGATGGAAAGACCTGAGTTTAAAAACCAGAGCAACCAACATGATCAAGTGGTCTGATTTCTGTTGCTTGATGAAATAACAATTGATTCTGCTGTTGCTGCTGCTATTATTTCACCTCCTTTATACTTTTACTTCTGTGCTTCTTGATGCAGAAACCTTTGCTGTTTCAGTGGGACCATGCGTGCTGCTGATTGAGCTAAGCCAGACTTTCACGTCACACCTTGTAAAGGCAGCTAGTATTGCCCTTATGGGAGGCTCTTTCAAAAGATGTAACTTTTTTTTCCTCTCTTTTTATCTCAAATTAACACAAGCAGGCTCAACCATATGTCATTTGCACTTAGAGAACAGTACACCCTGTCCTTGAAGGATCTGCTTAAAGTGTTGATGCCTTTTCATACTGAAATGGCATAAAACAAAAAAGGGTGTATGTTTATAATTTTACAATGTTTGTTAATTTACTGCAAAAGAAAGGTCACATCACCTTCTTCTCAGCCTTGCCTCTTTATTCACAACCGCATCCATCCATCCTTGCAATAAAAGTCTGTTGCAAGGACTGTGTATGGCAGTCCTTGCTTACACTCTCCAGATGAGTTGCAGACCTTGTAGATTTGTCAAGTCTTGTGTTGGCCAAAGGATGGGGGATGACAGATGCGCATCTGGGTAGGAAATCTCAGCCTGAATTGGGTAATGGAAACCACCAAATACAAAGGGAGATCACATGGTACATAAATCCCCCTGTCTGAGCAGATAACAGGAACAGGGTGGCAGGACAAGGCTATTTCTCCAAAATCCACACATTGCACCAGCTGCATCTCCACTCCTCTGGACCCCAGCCTAGGTTTCTTGGGCCAAGCACAGCACGATGAAGATTTATTCCTCCTGCGATCATCTGCGTCTGATCCCAGGTCAGGAAACAGCTACAGCACTACACTGCAAACGTATGAAATGCAAGTGCTGTGGAAGAAATTATGATACAGGGTCAAAACTGTGATTCTCCCACTGACTTCAGAGATTTGATTGGCTTGCTGATCTTGGCAAGAGTTGAATTACACCCCAAGAGAGTAATTAAACAACTACTTTAACTGCAATTCTCTTGAGTGTTACATCAGCATCCATACAGTTATAGATCATAGCAGTTAGAGGACAAACTGCACCTCTTATCGTTGTTCAAGCTCCAAATGACAGCCTTGTGTCTCTAACTCTTCTCGTGGTAAGAGTCTATAATTTTGCAGGTCTTTGCTACTGCAAGTATTGGTCACACAAGTGCCAAAATGTCCCTCTCTTTACAAACGTAGCTTGTTTGTTCAAGCCAGGGAAGGTAGGTGCAAAACTCAACTCTGGTGTTTTGAAAATTCTTCTCCTTCTAACAGAAACTTAAATATTAGATGGAAATAAATCATGGTTAGACTACACCCTCAGCAAAAAGCGAAGGAGAAACTTTGGTGGAGCAACGACATATTATTTCAGAAAAATATGGAACCTGAATGCCTCCTAAAAACAAAAATAAATACTTTAAGCCTCAGAAAAGTGGAAATGGCTTCATTTTTAGCCTTGAGACTTGACCCAGGCGCGATCCCCCACAAGGACAAGTGACTGTGTATTGTATATGCATACAATGGACTAACTGTTAGACTAATGGGGGGCTGCAGGAGGTTTCTGGGGCCCCTTCATTAAACTAATGACAAACATTCATCTCGTTACAGAGGATACATTCTCTCCTATTTTCCTGACTCCTTTTGCAACTCACTGTATTTTCTATTTTTAAAAGTCTTTTCACTTGTGTTCCCTGAATTCTTAAGACAACACAAGATGAGTAAAACACTTATTTTCTATTTATTACCAGTCAAAATTTCTAATATTAATACACAACTAAGGTTCTTGTAGCTACAAGTCTTCTGACATCATATCGGAGACATTTCAACTTTTCTGAGGTTGTGAATGTGGAAGTCTAAATCCATCTTTAGAGTGTTTTGGATGCACAAGAACTACAAGTTCAGATATTTGCTGTAGTATTGAAATGCCAAGCTGGAAGTTTTATTGTTTATATATCACTTACTATATGTCTAATACCAGAAAAACTCAGCATCTTGTACCCGAGTTCAGTGGACCATACAGTGGGGGTCAATTAAATTGCCCTGACTACTGCAAGCCAGGACTCCTATCACTCTCAAGTTGTAAGGAGACAACACGTCTTCCTCTGCTAACAGCCATACCTGTCTCCTGATGATCTATGGAACGACAAAATCTTGGGTGACACAGTTAATTTAATCTTCTCATTTAAATTCCTTCCAAGCCTCTGCAAAACTGAGTGACCAAATGGCTACATAGAATGAATCTCCAGGCCTCCGCTTCATTTGCAAGTATTTGAACAGATATCTGCTGCCTACAGGTCTGTAGAAATGTGAATCCTGGTTTACAGCCCTTACAAGCTGCCTTTCCTAAGTCCTTCCCTTTCCTCGGGTAACTCATTTGCTGTTGGGGCAAAACCACACTTCACCTGAAGAGGGTCACGTATTCCCTGTATCTCAGCCATATGAATATTCCTTCCACTGCATTTGTTTGATAAATTAAAGGGAACAAAATTAAAATAAAGATAATTCACCAACACTACCTTCAACCCTAAGGATGCCTTTACTTCTCACTGCTTGGATCTGCCATATAGGCCTTTTCTGTCCAATAGATTAAATAGGTTTGTTTTAGCAAACATACAGCTAAGCAACCAAAACCAGGAAGGGGACGATAGTAGTCTTTTTACTGGAGCTTTATGGCTGGGAAAACTCTGAGAAGCAAGCAAACATATCAAACATTAAATCTATATATTTTTAGAAGAGTTTGGATAACATTGCTTATTGAATGGTGAAGGCACGCAAGTACCCCACGTGTTGTTTTTCTGCATAGCTCAAGACTTTTGTAAATTAAAGCAGGGCTGGAAGATCCCAAAGAAGTTTGGCAGAGAGGCTGTGAAACATTTTATAACCTTTACATCATTGTCTTATGTTTTTCAAGGGAAATTACTCATAGTGCGATTTCTACTGTGAGTAGAAATCTACTCCCTCCTGCAGCACCGCAGGAAAGTTGCAAAGAGGCAAGGATTAGCTGGTGATAGCAAGGTGAGAATTTCCATAGTTTGTCCAGTGTCTCCTAATTTAAACTCTAACTATCCTTTACTAAGTGAATATGAAAACATGCTAGTGCTTTGGGAGCGCCTGCGGTCTGAAAGTGCCCGGTCTGAAACGGGACGCTTGGTGTGCTATATACAACTCAGTCATTGGCTTCAGAAAGCAGGCTGCCAGATGTTTGCACTTCTAGCACGCTCTGTAACATACTCTCCCCAAAATGAACGATTACATACCTGCTTTGGCAGTGTCGCCAACTAGAAGAAATTATTGAAGAGGGTGTTTCAGGGACAACAATGCTTAAAAGAAAAGTTTGAGAAACTTAAGAAGCAAAAAAAAACCAAACATACTATCTGAAGTCTTGAAGTGTGCAAGAACACTTCTGTAACAACAAAGTTGGACAAACTGTATGCCAGTTGAATGAAAGCAAGTTATAGGAAGGCAATTCCAAATGGGAAAAGAATGTAAAAAAAAATACAGTAGGAAAATTTCCAAGTTGAAACACATCCTGTTATCACCACCCAAATATTTTTTTCCATAGCCACTGTTTTTCAACATTCTACATCTAAGTGAGTGCCAAATAAACATAATGCCACATCTTCTGAAGGAGACATTGCCTACCAAATAAACCTAAACTCCTAGTGCAGTAGTTAAGTTTTGAGCTGTAATCACTGTGATGCAAGAATTCTCTTTCACACTTAAAAACAGTAGTACTAGACCTGTAGACAAAGGACTGAATTTCATATTGAACACAAATACTACATAAGGAGGAAAGGTAAAGCCTATTGGAATCCTGCTGTGTTTTCTTTCTGTTATGCTTTTGAATGTGAGAAGAAACTGCTGTCATTAAAACTGTCAATTCCTGTTGGGATGTGGCTGGCTGGGAAATAAGAAATGCAAATAACTGAAAATAGGAAAGTGTTTTAAGAAATTTCAAGTGCATCATGTCCAGAATATGCACAATACTTGCAAAAGCCAGACACGGACAATCTGACACTGTCCCCACACATGGGTTCTCTGGCTGGCAGGGTAGTACCTCTTCTGCAAAGGCAGCTGTAGAGAATGTTCTGATTTTAAAAAAAAAAAAAAAAAGGACACACGGAGAGCACCTTATTGCACGTTAGAGCCATGTCTTAATTTTCAATTGTAACTACCCTTTAAAATAATTTGAACTTTTGATTTTTTATTACGTGGACTTTCCAAGCATGCAGTTATTATATTCTGTTATTATAGTGGTAGAATCTGCAGCAGTCTTTCATGCTGGCATTTTAATCACTAGTACTTATTATTGCAAAACTTCTCACAGGCAGGACTGATTGGTAAGATCAGACTTCACATCATTTACAGGGTCTGACATCTTACATAATTAACTAATTTACTATACACCATAGGTCATTGATTTTCCACAGGGGAAAAGAAAAAAAAGAAATTAGAGTGAAACTGGCATCTATTACTTTCTTCCCATGGATCTTTCTGTCCATGATAAGTGTTCCTATTTTCACCCATTGTCATTCCACGAGAAATTTTATTACTTAGATAAATGTGTCACAGTCTTGCAATCTTGTTATCAAGATTATTTCTCTTTTTAGATGTGCAGTTTTTGTTTCTGAATGTGGTTGAAGCATTTTGCCCCATAAACATACCTGACAAAAATATGCTTTTTATCTTTTCATCTTATTTCAGCCTTTCCATAAAATCAATATTCTGTTTCTGTATGAATTATAACTAGCTTCCTGAATAACCTACCTTGCATAATAGATTTTCTCTTATTTCTTACTGTCCTTAGTAACAGAAGCAAAAATGGAAGGGAGAGAAAGACAGCAGTGTTTTATGTTATCAGTTCTTTGTGTAACATTATGCTGCTGAATGACTGGATAGATTTTTCTAACTCAAATTGCCGTGTTAATATTTTGGAATCAGAGCAGTTGTACACATGATGGACATATAAACATTATGCATTGCAGCTTAATCCCTATTCCCTCTACGCTACAAAAAGGTAGCTTGTTTATCCATATTCAGCTTTCAGATGAGGCAGCTAGCTGAATATAATCTGGTTGAGGAGAAATATGTCATCTTACGAGAGTACAATTTCTTTGGTGTTTTGTTGTTGCAGAAATACCTGTCACATAAAAGGTTTTTGAACACAGGAAAAATGAATAAATTAATAGGTGATAAGCAAAACTTGTCTTTTACATTAGCCAGGGATACAGATCAAACTATAATACATAGCTTTGACCTGGAGCCTTTCCTGTGGAGGTTAGAAGTGATTTAGAAACACTGTTACTTTAGAGGTTTACAAATGCAGTTTCTTGCTTACAGAACAGGCATGCTGCTCTTGTCAAGGTTTTCAAAGCTCAGTGCAGAACATGCCCTCAGCTGCCTGCCAGATGCTATGGGCACTGCTGACTCTGCTCAAAACCTGGTCCTTCCCTTTGCTTCCATAACTGGCTGCAATTTTGTTCTTCCTTCTGCCTCCTTCTTCAGAGGAGCCCTGTTGTCCTTCCCAGCCTTCAGCAGGCACTGTCATCCTCTTCTCCTTCCACACCTTTCTTCTGGGCGATACAAGCTATGAACACAATGCAGTTATCTTCTGTCTTAAAGATTCACTTCAGAACCGTCTCCAGTCCAAGCTAATATTGCAGCCTATCTTCCTCACTCTTCCTCTGTTAATACATTTGGAAAAAATAGCTCAGTGTCTGTGTTCTCTTCATGTTTTCTTCCTCATGCATTTTCCTGCCAGTCTCAGCTCTGACACCTGGGTATTGCCTTTGAGTTTTACCTCTCCCCGTTCCGCAAACCAGAGCTGTATCTAAACACTACCAGTTCAACACAACCTAT